GGCGTCCTGGTAATTAGGACAGTATTATGTTTAGTGACCTGGTTAGGGTCGTTATCCTAGTATATAGGATGATGCTATGTTAGTGACCGGTTAGGTCGGTATCCTGGTTAGGATGTTGCTATACTATATGATCTGCTAGATCGGTTTGTCTGTCTATGGACTGTTATGTGATTACCTGTTATATGTGCACATGGTTATTTGCTTGATGTTTGGGTTGAGGCGGTCCTGCTTCGTGCTGAAGGCCAACATACCCTACGAGCTGTTCGGACAGACTGTAGGCCCGTATGGCAGTCCAGTCATACCGAAGGCTCGAGATAGATCCAGATAGACTGTAGGCCCGGTGCAGGCGGTCCAGTCATACTGTAGACTCAGAGAGTGGACCGGATGGACTGAAGGCCCGGTGCGGGCGGACCAGTCACACTGTATACTCGAGATGCATGGCTGTTCTGTATATGTTGATATGATATGATTATGGTTATATGAGGTTGGTATTTTGGGGGTAACTCACTAAGCTTTCGGGCTTACAGTTTCAATTTATTGTTTCAGGTTCAGCGGGTGGCCGCGGGTAGGCGAAGGCGTGACCGTACACTTCCTCGAATTACGATTATGATTTCTGGGAACTCTGATGTATAAACTATTTTGAAAACAAATTGTAATAATTGAATGGTTTCAAATGAATCAAAAAGTTTTAAATTGGCTCGAATTTTTGGGATGTTACACTTCTAGCCAATTTTCAGCGAAGGATTACGACTAAAACCCTCTGGAAACCTTGGATAAGATCAGGAATCGATTGGAGCTCAAGAGTTGAAGAGATATAGAAGAATTCTACATAGATCTAATCGATTTTCTAAGACACTCATGCGTAGTCTTATTTGCATGGATTTTGTGTTTTTTCTGCTATTCTGAGAGGCTAAAAACCTTATACTTCTGTTTGGTGAAGATGAACCTAATCCTTATGTGTCGATTTTGATTTATGGATGATATATATTGATTTTACTTGTGTTTGATAATTAAACCTAGACTAAACTACACAAATGGTCCATGTGGTTAGCTCAAAATTGCCACTTTGGTCCAAAAAAGTTTGGACTAGCACCAGAGGTCCAAACTTTTCATTTTGTTGCGAGTTTGGTCCAAAACTTCATGAAAATATTTAAAATGACGGAATTGCCCTTTTGATTTTGTTTTTTCATTTTCTTTTTATTACAATAACGAAAAAACAAATAAATAAAATACAATCCCACCCCACCTCTCCTCTCTCTCTCTCTCTCCCTCTCTCTCCTATACAATACCCATCTTCTACATGATTTTTACACAACGAAATACCACCACCACCACCGGTCGGAGATATAAACGCCACCACCGTCGTCGCCGACCAAAGATATGAACGCCACCAACGTTGTCGATCAGAGATATGAATGTCACCATCACACGGTTAATACCACTGACAATAGCTAGAAAACCCTCGATTTTCCGGAGGAGAAGACAAAGAGATGATGTAAGTCGACCAGATCTTCAACTCTGATGAAAGTGGCGCTGAAAACCCTTGGGTTATTATGCCTCTTGCAACAAACATTAGGTCCGGTTGATTAGGGTTTTATGGCGGCGGCGGCTAGAATAGGGTTTTATGGCGGCGGCTAGAATAGGGTTTTATGGCGACGATGTTGCAGGTCGACCACGAAAGGCAACGAATCAGGGGACTCCAGATCTAGACATGAAACCAATCATACTGGAGAAAACAAATAGAGAAAAGGGGTGACGACTCTGGTGGTCGTTCGACGACAGATCGAGTCGGAGACAGACGACTGATGGTTTCTTGCGTTGAAGGGTTTTCAGAGCCGAAGAAGGACGAATCTGGTGGTTTCTATGTTGTCAGAGTCATTTTAGGTGACTGACAGTTTAAAAACCATGAATCGACGATCGGCGGAGACAAATTCGATGAGCTAACAGGTATGATGGTGGGATCTGGCATAATCTGGTGTAAATGGCGACGATTTCATGCAGTAATAGTGGTTTCCGGCGAACAATGGTGGTTCCCGGCGATGGTGGCGGCGATGTTCTGATTTTTCCGATCGGTTGTTCCGGTGGGATTGGGAGGATATAGGAAGATGAAAGTGGTTATGGGTGTGGGAGATAGTAGGGTGGGTGGTATTTTTATTTTTGATTTTCTTCTAAATACAAAAAAAAAAGAAAAAGATAAAATATAAAAGTGAGGGCAATTCCGTCATTTTAAATATTTTCATAAAGTTTTGGACCAAACTCGCAACAAAATGAAAAGTTTGGACCTCTGGTGCTAGTCCAAACTTTTTTGGACCAAAGTGGCAATTTTGAGCTAACCACAGGGACCATTTGTGCAGTTTAGTCTTAAACCTAACATGTTTTAGTTCTAGTTTATATTGCTTATTAATCAAGTTCTGTGATAGTTAATCATTCTAATTGCATGAATTTGTCACCTAATTATTTATGATCATTAAATATTTAGAACTAGGATTAATCACATCTTAGATAAAGTAATTAAAGCTTGTAACTTTAATTGTGTTAGAGAGCATAATTAATCTTAATTTGTGCTTGGTTGCTTAAATTGATCATAAGAAAGTAACTACTATCATTCATAGTCCAATGTGTGTTCATTATCGATTTGGTGTTTAACTTGTGCTTGATCATTGCATGTTAATTCATAAATTGGTATGTCTAGATCTTTTATCATAATACCTAGTTAACAAATTGGTAATCAATATATTCCATCAAGTAGAAATCAATCATAGGAGAATGGGAAATCGGAACTGAATAGAAGTACTCTTTAATCTTAAAATAAATTCGTTTTTATTTACTTGCTTAGTTGGTAATTTGGTAGTGATTTGAATTAAGTTCTTATGATCTTGCAAAATCAGTAAAAACCTCAAATTTAAGTTTGTTTTCTTAGTTTAATTAGCAGTAGTTATTTTAATTAATTAAATTTTGTTCCCTGTGTTCGACACCCGACTTACCCAAGCTATTCTATAATATGACTAGGTAAACTGCCTATAGGTGCATATATTAGTTAAGTTAGTTAGGTTATAAATTTAAAAACAAGTAGGTACTTTTGTGCATATCAGTTATCGAGCAATACTTTACCATATAAGATGAACCCTAAAACACTTTCTTCATCTCTTCTTGTTTCACAATCATGAATTAGAACAATAACACTTACCACTTCTTCGACTCTTGATAATCTAAACATATAAATGTTTGGCAAGTGTTAATATGTTTGATTCTTTGCGTCAAATTTTAATCCTAAATTTAACTTGACATTCAACAAAAATATATGTAATAAAATCTTTTAGCACTTTTCACGCGGGACATTCCAAGGTCGGCCTAAGCTACGAGCGACGACAACCCATGGCATCAAAGGCTAAGGGGCCTCAACTTCGGGCCCAACTTTAGTTGAGTTTTTACCCAAAACATGGTACTTGGAAAAAATATTTACCAAAATATGGTAGTTTCAAATTTATTTATAGAATAGTAGTGAAAATATAGTTGGATTGAACTTTTTGTTTATTAAATAAAAGAAAAAGAGTAAAGTGGCCCCACCACAGACCACACTACTTCACGATTTCTTCTCTTCTCCGTTTCCGTTCTTACTCGCCGGAAAAAATGGAAATATAGAAGCATGGATGCTTTGCTTGATTGCTTCACAAGCTGCTCACCGGATTCTTTTTATTCCTCTCTTCTTCTTTTTTCCTCCATGTTTAAGCTCACCTGGTCATTGACATTTATTCTTCCCTTTTTCCTTTGTGTTTTGCAAGACGTTGCCTTTCCAAAGGTTTCCCTCAAGCAATTTTCTCCTTCACCGGTTCTCTCACATGTACTCATTCGTCGCCAGTTTCTCTCATGTTTTCTCTTGTATTTCGGTTTCCCTCGTTTTGCCATCTGGCGTGTTCCGTCGGGTCTATTCCATCAACGTCGTATAAGTGAGTTTTCTAGCAGTTTTTTGCATTCTATGCCTAGAAAATAAAATATCTACTTCTGCTACATCATTGTGCACGTTTTCATGATGTCATATTTTCCTGATTCAATCCCCCTCTACATATTATCAAACAAGTCCCCTCATATCTAGTGATCTTTTTTAAGTCCCTTAGATTTCTTGGGAATTTGTCAAATCATAATGTATCAAGCTTTAAAACTACGAACATATATATATTTTTATGTACGATCAACTACAAATTCGAAGAAACAGGGCATTGAATTGTTTGATGTCATGACCGGTTAAGTATGCTTAAAAGAGACCTATGTAGTAAATCATGAGACAGAAGGAAAATGATTAAAAAAACATAAGACTCATAAGGATTCATGAGCCATGTTGTTAAGTATTTAAACTATAAGCTAGGCACTTTGTGAACTTGAATTGCATGTTTAAAAATTAGGTCGGAATATGCTACTAGTTTAAAAAACTCAAAAGGTTAGTGGTGTTCTATAATAGCTATATTAACCTAAAAATGGAAGTGCAAATGCGTTTAAGAAGATGAGGTGGTGCTATAGCGAATTCCATGGAAAAGAACTAAACGATAGGACTGGGTTAAAATAAATTTGTTTTTAATATAAAATACGCAGGGACCATAGCTAAAACCAAGTTCACTATGTTTTGGAATATATTTTTGAAAGTACTAGAGAATGGTAATTGTTTTTTTAAAATTACCACACTCGTGTACAAAACTCAACTTTAGTTAATAGTGTCACTAATATGTTTATTTGTATCTGGGCAACGAAATAAACCAATAGAAAAAAATAAATAACACATATGGAACATGTGTTACAAGTTAGACGGTATTTTAAATTTTAAATTTTAAATTTTTTATAATTATAAAATTAATTATAATTATATAATATAATAATTTTTGAACAATCAAACCGAAATTAAAAAAAAAGAAATTGCTAATCATCAACAATCACGGATTCACGGCCAATATTTTTCACATCGGGTCAGTTAGGAAATCGAGTCAGCTATATTTTTACCGGCATTCGAGATGCCTACGGACACTATATTATGGCCCCACATCCGGAGAATGTACTATTTCACAACTGACCGTTTACGAAAATCGTTTCTTCATCAGATCTTCCTCAAAATACTCTTCTTCGTCTCTGTAAGTCATCGATCTACACTTTTAGTTACAAATCTTATTGCAATTGAATTCATGTAAGCAATTCAGTTCATGCTCTATGTTAACATTTTCATCAGTAATTTAGATCGATTGCTTCTCTAATATTGACCGGATACGAATTAGGGTTTTACAAATCCGATGGTTTTTTCGGCTGTTATGATTTAGGAAACATAAATTAAGGTTTAGCTGTATCGATTTGTGCTTTCAGTAAATTGGAGTTACTAGTTTATTGAGTAATTTCTTCCTGTGCGAAAATGATGGATTCTACGCGATTCGTTCGTTTCGATTTGATGAATTTGCATTTTGGTAGTAATCTAAACTTTATATGATTAATTGGAAATGGCTACGTTGTAATGTTGGTTTTCAATTTGAAGCAGATTGTGATTGAGAGGTGTTTTGTAGAAGAAAGGCAGAGATGAGCGAAGTATTCGAAGGCTACGAGCGACAGTATTGTGAGCTGTCTGCGAATTTGTCCAGAAAATGTAACGCAGCTGGTTCTATTCTTGATGGAGGTATTTCTTTTTAGCTTTCATTGCATTTAGTTTCTCAGTTCAGTTTTTTGGGTTGTGATTGTGTTATATTCTGATTGTGTTATCAACAACTGATCTGATCCTTTACTTGTGATATCATGATATGAAGAGCAAAAAAGCAAAGAGATCAATGAACTGCTATCTGGATTAGATGAAGCTGATGTTCTGGTAAACAATAACTAGTCCTTTTATCTTTCTTTTTTTCTGCAATTCTGGTTTGTAATTTACGCATGGAAAATTGTACCAGATAAGAAAAATGGATCTTGAAGCAAGAAGTCTGCAGCCAAGTGTGAAGGCAATGCTGCTTGCAAAGCTTCGAGAATACAAATCTGATTTAACAAAACTGAAAAGGGAAGTTAAGAAACTTGCTTCAGCTAAATCCAGTCTAACTGCACATGAAGAGTTGCTGGAGTCCGGAATGGTAAAATCTCCATTTCCTAACTACTGGAATTGGAATTGCCTATTCCCATATACTAAATCTGGAATTGCCAATTCCCATTACAGGCTTCTTCAGATCAAAGAGATAGACTGATGATGTCAACTGAAAGGCTAAATCAATCTAGTGAGAGAATTAAGGATAGCAGGAGAGCTGTGTTTGAAACCGAGGAACTTGGTGTCTCAATTCTTCAAGATTTGCATCAACAACGAGAAACTCTTTTAAATTCCCATGCAAAGGTATTTTATTTTTAGGGGTTTTGTTTCTTTTCTTCCCAACTTAATGAATGTTATGGAAGGATAAAATGGTCATTTCTTCTTGAACATAATAAAAAAAAAAAAGTAAATTTGACAGCTGCATGGAGTAGATGATGCGATTGACAAGAGTAAGAAAGTGTTAACAGCAATGTCAAGAAGGATATCGAAGAACAAGTGGATTATTGGGTCTGTGATTGGAGCTCTTGTGCTTGCCATTATTTTTATTTTATATTTCAAGCTTACTCATTAGTGACTCTCACTTCTAAAACATGTTTGACCATATTATATTGGGTGTATGTATGTATATATGTTGTTATGTTTTAGACCTTGTTTGCAGCTTTGTTATAAAATTGACATCAACTTTGATTTTTCATCTTTTTGCCATTTACTGTAATAATTCATTTTTTGTGAAAAAGATTTGGACAAACAATTCAAGGTCTCATTTCATGTTAATGTTTTGTAGGAATTCAATATGCTCGGAAACTATCAAATTCCAATTTTGATAGATTTTAATTTTCCTAGTTCAGTGTGAAAAAGATTCAGTGTTACTCATACTTTTTTTTGTTCAAGACCAAAATGCCTTTGTTATATATTATGAAAAGTTCAATTATGTACAAATAAAAAAATAAACCTTTTCGTCATATTAATTATTTTCTACCACCTAAACTTAAGATAGAAAATGATTTCTATAAATATTACTTGTAAAAACAATGTGCGAAACCAAAATGACCCCTAAAAGTTTATACTAAATAGTATATGATTTTCTTATTATAAGACAGGTAGGAATAGGCAACATGCACCCGCGTTACTCCGACGTGGCACGACAAAAACAACGTTATAACGCCAGTTACACCGTCTCGGTGTTAGGTGCATTTCATGTACCCATTTTGTAGCTTTATTTCATAAAAGTACATTGCATTTAGGTTTAAACTCATGCATTTTGCATATTTTCGGGATTTTTCATGATGCAATTTCATTCACACACTTTTGTAATATTTCAGAGACTTTTGGAGGTTGGATCTTGCTTTAGGAGGTTAAAAAGAGTTAAGGGTAAAATTTCAGGGCTATTGGAGCATCGAGGAGGAAGTTATGAAGAAAATGAAGATTTTGGTTTTACAGGAGTTTACACGGCCGTGTAAATGGAAGCCTATAATTTACACGGGCCGTGTAAAAACGCATATACAGGAGCATTCTACTTTTCTTGTTTACACGGCCGTGTAAATGACAGTGTTAATTTACGCGGGCCGTGTAAACGTAAATGCGGGTTTTAAAGCAGTTTTTCACCATTTTTAAAGGGGAACCAATTTTTTTAAGAGGGGGTCGACTTTTGGAGCAGAGAAAGTGATTTTCTTGAGGATTTTGAAGTTGATTAACACTTGGGAACATTTGATTTCATTTTGTAAGAACTTTAATTTCTTTTTCTAGATTTGTGATCTTGTTCTAGCCATGATTGGCTAGAACCCTAGTTTCTCCAACTTCATGTATTGACTTCTTAGTTGTGATTTCAATCATATGACTTGATGTTTGCTTTCAATTTTCTATCTAGTGAATTTGATTTTGTCTCAATCGAATGTTTGATTCTAATTGTGATTCTTACTGGCCATTTGAATTAGGGTTAGATCATTCAAGTTATCTAATTGCAAAATCCGTAATTGTTTTGTAAATTGGACTAGGTAACAAGCACTAATTTGATTTCTATTGAATGAATTTAGTGTAAATCTTTTCACACACTTTTACACTCCCGAGCTTGTGAGGAGTATTGAGTGTTGTTGGGAACATTCACATAAAGTTTAAAGCAACCTTTCAATCTAATTCTAAGAGCTTGTTTAGATTAGGTTAGTAAGGTTAGGATTAATCAAAGAGCTTGTTTTGGTTAATTATTGTGGTGAATGGGAAGTGTTAGAGCTTGTTAACACTTTCAAGTACCAACTTAGATAGAATTAAACAAATATCTTGTCATCCATGGAATCACATTGCTAATTTGTCTTGCATAGAGTTGGAGTACTTACAAATTTTGAACTTATTTCACTTAATCAATTGCTTACTCATTAAATTAGCTCTTATTTGAATCATTGCATTTAAATCCCCCTCTTTTGTGATCATATTGTACCTTGCGCAAAAAGGTATAAGCATTTGTCCCGTGTCTCTGTGGATCGACCCTGCTTACCTTGTATTACGTTTTTAGTGCAAAGTAACAGTGTTTTTGGAGTCAATTGTACCCCTTTATTTGTTGGGTTTGACACGCCTAACACCCGGCCTTGCGTTTTTTGGCTTTATGGTGGTAACGAGAGGAAACAATTGAATTGGCTTGCATTTTTAGGGGAACGGTCACATTTTTGATCGTTTGCAAACGGTCACAAACTTAATAATAATAATAATAATAATAATAATAATAATAATAATAATAATAATAATAATAATTTTCCCTATTTATATCTAATATAAATACACAATATTTATCTCAATTTTACCTACAAAACTCAACAATTTCTTTTAAAAATTCACATTTCTTTCGATTTCATTTTCTTTTCTAGTATTCTATTTACTTAAAAAATGGATCATTTTGATCCATTTCATCCATACAACCATGATATCGACGATGATGATATGTTTGTGGGTATGATGTACTAATATGTTACGGGCATGCTACCGCCAGAGTCAGCTCCACTACTGACCAGACGTGTGGCGTTGAACAAAAATCGTGAAGAAGGGCATAGACGTCTAGTACGCGATTATTTTGTGGATAATTGTGTCTACCAATCTAGCGATTTTAAAAGAAGGTTGCGTTTGCGGAAAAATGTGTTTCAACGGATAGCCAATGCAATGAAAAACAGGTACTGTAAATATACTTGTTTTACAAATTAAATATATGTTCTTTAGATTTTTAAATAATTGTTTTTAGATAACACAAGTACACCTTTTTTACAAATTAAATATATGTGTTAGGTATGAATATTTCCAAATGAGGTATGATACGAGAGGTAAACGAGGTTTTACAAGGTTGCAAAAATGTGGTGTTGCAATCAAGCTTATGACTATAGAGGAGTCACCCGATTCTATTGATGACTATATGAGAATGTCAGAGCGAACTGCACGAGAAAGTTTGTATAATTTGGCGAGAGGTGTTATCGAAACCTTCGGTGACAAATACTTGCGCAAACCTTCATTGAATGACACATGCAACAACTATATGCGGCGCATGAAGAACGACATGGTTTTCCGGGTATGCTTGAAAGCATTGATTGCACAAAGTGGATATGGAGAAATTGTCATGTGGCATGGAAAGGTCAATACACAAGTGGTCATCCTGGATCGCCGTCGTTGGTATTAGAGGTTGTTGCTTCACAAGACTTATGGATTTGTCATGCTTTTTTCGGAGTTGCGGGTTCTAACAACGACGTAAACGTTCTTGATCAGTCACAAATATTTCAGGACCTTTTGACAGGAAAAGCATCGGGTGCTCTTTCATAGTGAATGACAATGAGTATAAGTTTGGGTATTACCTCACAGATGGAATGTATCAACCATATTCCACGTTTGTGAAAGTGTTTCGACACCCGATAGAACCAAAAGACAAAATTTTCAAGAAAAGACAAGAAGGAGCACGTAAGGACGTGGAACGTGCTTTCGGAGTTCTGAAAACAAAATGACACATAGTTGAACATGCGGCACGACCATATCACTTGAACACTCTACAAGATATTATGCGTGTGTGTATCATAATGCATAACATGGTGATTGAAGATAAATGACGAAACATTGCGAAATATTCACCTACGGAACCTAGATACATTCAATTTCAACAAGGAACAACAAAATAGTTACATAGAGTCGTTGCCATTCAAGACCAACGAATATACAAGCAACTTCTAGAAGACTTGACTAAACATATCTACGATGATACCGAAGATGAATAATTTAGGTCAAAAAATGTAATTTTTCTCATATATATATATATATATATATATATATATATATATATATATATATATATATATATTTGGTTTTTAGGTTTTTAAATGTTTTTATCATTTGTTGTAATTTTTTTTTCTAATGTTGTTTTTTAATTTAGGATTTATTAAAATTTTATTTTTACTTTTTAAATGTTATTTTTAATTTATGATTTAATTTATATGGTAAATATAAATATTATAACATAAATAAAAAATAATTTGGAAATATAGAAATTAAAAACATAAAAAAAATAAAAAAATAAAATAGAAAATAAATTGTGTTATCACATGTTATTTGATGTTGTCAATTTTCATATTGAGTATTATAACACTCATGTATGAGTAGGATGATAATGTGTGGGTGTCATAACAACCTATTCAAAGATAACTAATATAAACAAAACATAATTTTTTTAATATAGAAAGAGAAAATAAAGAAATAAAAGTTAAGTATACAATTAATTTAAGTAAAATTTTGATTTTTTTTATATTTATAATTACAATTGCATATTCTATTTTGTGTTTTCTAAATTAAGAATTTATATTTGAATATGTTATATAGAAAACAAAAAACAAAATGATTGGAAAAACTCCTAGCAAAACCTTATTATCAATTTACAAGGAGAAATTAAAAAACAATTATAACGAACATATTTGGCAAAACTAACGTTAACTGAAAGATGTAACTTTTAACTATACATAAACTTTAAAATAGTAATTAGTTTTGACCTTTTAAATATGTAGATTAAATAAAAATTATAAGTTAAAAGTCCCAAAACACTATTTGTTTTCAATTTAAAACTTTTATGTAAAATAAAATTTTAAAACTCATACTGTGAAACACGAAGTTTTTTGTTTTATTTTAGAACTAAAAATTTAAAAGCTCTCCAAAGGTCAAATAAATAAGATTTTTTTTTCCAACTATTTTTTCCAAGATAACTTTTTAAACTGTTATTCAAAAAATAGAAACTAAAGTGACACTTACGTACTTACCTCATAATTTTGTAGTTTAGTTTGACTCGTGAGTTGTAACTCGGGCACATAAAAATCTGCACCAATAGAAATTAGAATCCCCCAGGGATTCAGTGAACCAACTTTCCTTCGATTCTCCGGTGGTCTTTCAGTCGTTCACGCTGTCGCCGATCGCTACCAACTTCTCCTCTACCGCCCCCTTTGTATATAAACACCCACACGTCTCACACGCACAAGCAAGAGCCTGTATGATGGAATCCCTCTCCTCCGTATCTACCTCAATCGTCTTACCGCCCGGAACCCCCTTCCACCACCACCACCACCGCCGGAGAATCCATCTACAATCCTCCTCCTTTTCCACCTCATGCCTTCATCCCGATCACCGTCATCCTTCCCGATATCTCTCAACCTTCGTGACCCCTTCAAACCCTAAACTAAACCCGTATGGAAGCAGAGTCGATGGTATGGCGTGTAAACTGAAAGCTGTAGGAAATCGAGGAGGAACTAAAGGGGAAGATGAAGGAGAAGAGGATGAGGAGGTGGAAAAGGCGTTACGATTGGATGGGACGATCCCTGGTTCTTCTAATGAGTTCGTAGAACAAGTTTCGTCGCGTGCTTATGACATGCGTCGTCATCTCCAACAAACATTTGACAGCAGCAGTTACGACGGTATAATTTATCTCCGATCACTATTTTTTCAACTATAAATCTGACCTTTCTCATCAAACTTTCTGATTATTAGTATTTTTTCTGTACGAATTGTTCATATTTGCTTGTTTTCATTGATCTGTCAAGTAATAGGAACTCACTCATCCACAGATTGATCTTAGATTAAAAACTAGGATCTTCAAGGTGCCTTCTATGAATTTGACTCACTCGTTATTCTGATGTATTGATTCAGTGCTGGAAGCAAATCCATGGAGAGGAGATGCAAAACCTGTTTATGTATTAACCCGAAGGGAAAACCAGCTCTGCACAATGAAAACCAGAATGAATCGCAGGTTTCACTTCTGATTAATTGTTAAATTCTCATGCATCCAATACTCTACTTTCATAACTCCTTCTCCTTTCTTCTAATCCCAAACTCACAAACAGTGAAGTTGAAAGGGAACTTGGGATGTTGTTCTCCAAAGGACGTAAGTTAAGAAATCAAACAAAGAAACCAACTCCCAATAAGTTCCAGATGCTTGTTGAAGATGTCAGGGATGGAGTGCTTGTAAGTTATCTTTTATCATAATATCCTTATCCTCATGTAGTCATGTTGATATGATCTTTGTAAAAGGCATTTGAGGATTGACACCATTAATGAAATGTTTTGTAAGGTTTTTGAGGATGAGACAGAAGCAGCAAAATACTGTGACCTTCTGCAAGGAAATTGTGAAGGGGTTGCAGAGATTGAAGCCTCATCGGTAACTAACAACAATCAATCATCAACTTTTCAAATCTGCTTTCTAACTTTAATAAATTCTTTTTGAATTATGAATTTTCAGGTGTTTGATCTTTGCCAGAAGATGAGGGCACTTGCGGTTTTGTTTAGGAGAGGAAGAACACCTCCTCTACCAGAAAGCCTTAAGCTTAACTTGAGTGCTCGCAAACGTTCCCTTGAAGATCAAGATGATGTCATCTGAACAAATCCCAAGTTTGCCATATGGTACATGATTATAATTTACATATACCGTATATAAATAGATTTACTGTTAACAATCATATTCATTTAGAAACAAATTGGATGATTGATTATACACCTTTTATGATATAGATCAATGCGTTTGTTTTCTCTCTACGTACTTCTGTTTCCCAATTCTCCTTGTATTTATATTCTATACCTTTGTATAATGTTTAATCAAATCAGTGAGAATCCAGTTACATATAATTGGGTATATTTGTGAGCTAATAATTCATTGATGGGAAAATCCTAATATAAGAAGTCTATTTACTAATCAAAATTTGTGAAATGCTATATTTTTGAAAAATATAGCTAGCAAAAAAAAGTTCACCATTGGAAAAACATCATCAATAAATTCAAGGCCAAACTTTCTCGATGGAAAGTATATATGTTGTTGGTGGGAGGCTGGGATACACTTCTAAAATTGGTCATCGGTAGTCTTGGCATATATTATATGTCTTTGTCTCCAGCTTTAGATGCAGTCCTAAATTACTTGGCAAACGTCATACTTGTAGGCTTCTCATTGATTCTACTACTTTTGTTGGCATGAAATGACCCAAATAATGGAACAACGTTGTTCCAATTGTGGTTAATGTATTGTTGTGGAGTATTTATCTTAATCGAGTATCCAGTAGATTAGTTTTGATAAAAGAGGGACTGATGTGGAGGCTATCATGTGCCCCCCCATATGCGACTTGGTGTCGGTATATTGTGCCTCCTAGCATCGCAGATCTCATTTCTTGTCATGCGTTGGTGGGTCATGGATTTACCTTCTTTTTACATGATTTTCAAATTGGATGTTTTGGCATAAAGTTACTTCTTTGACCTTGCGCAAAAGAAAGCCTTTGAGGATGCTTTTACATTTTCGCAATTTGATGATATTTGGAGGTGCTAAACCTAAGAAAACGGATCTTTTTGATAACATTGTTTATTCCTCTTTTTTTTTTTTTTTTTTGGATAGAAGCAAGAAGTGCAAACTTAATTAAGTTTGTTGGTCACACAATCCATGTATTGTTATTCACACATTATAATGTTTATTTCTATCGTCTTGATAGTTTAATAAAATTTTTGTTCAAAAAAAAAAACATGAGTTAGCCAAACAAGAAAATTATTTTGCTAAATCAAATAATTAAGGAGTATGTAATTGGTTTGGTGTCATTTTGTTGCGCAAATTGTTTGCGGAAAAGTTTACGTATACGAGGTGTGCAACCGCACATGGCCTGTTTCGTTTAAGAGATTTGAAATTTTTAATAGAACAACATATAATGACATTACTGACATATTAGTGACGGATCTGTGAATTTTTATTTTGATTAATTTTATAACAATTAGAGTCTTATAAATGATGCATAAAAAATTATATTTATAGGCTAATTTTTATTTTTCTCACATAACTAACCATTTTAAGAAGGAATAACAAAGAAATCTCAATTCAGACTTGGAAGAAACCTCCAAGGTATTCTCCATCAATCATTAAATAGAAACAAGACACATAGGTGTATCCATTCATCAAGTTCCTATTAAAATAAAATCAACACAAGAAAACGCAATCCGGGAAGGATTTGCAAAATAATACCACAAAGCACAAAAGAAAAAAAAATGCCAAATATTAGTATACATTTGTCACAAAATAAAGGAATTTTACAAAGTCTCATTTTACATTACTATTTTAAGAAGGATTCGAAAAAACAAAACATCATTCATTCTAATATTTTTATAAGCGTCCCTTTTGTTTATGATTTTTAAATTCCCACACCATTACAATAAATTAAAAGTTGAAATTGTATACGGGAAGGCGACGAGGACAGAGATGAGAGAACCATTCATTTGAATGTGTCATCAAAATTAAATATATATATTTTTATCTACATTAAAACACTAAATTAATCTAATATTAATTTTTTAAGAATGTGACGACGACTAATTATATGTTTAATTAAGTTGATCGCAATTTAGAAAGTCTAAACGTGCATCTAACACCTTCGACACTCTAAAAAAAATCAAGGTGAAAACTCATAATTTACAATAAAAAATATTATGTATATAAAAACTAAAAAACTATTAAATTTATTTAATGGAATGTTTTGCCGGTTAATCAAAAATATTTACACCTATATCTTTAAGAAAGTGTAGAAAGTTACAAATCTTAAGTAACTAGATGTAATACTCATGTATTACATAAGTTAATTAAAAAAATTATATATAAAAGTCTAAATATTTAAAAACTTTAGATTTATAAGAAAATAAGAAAAATAATGAATTACTAAAATTGATTTTTCTTTTAAATTTAAATAAATAAACAAAATAAAGTAATGAACTTTAATTTAGAAAATTTGAAATAAAAAAGTAAATCTATTAATGAAATTGATATTCATTTATTATTACATTTATTGTAATTATTACATTAAAATATTATGTGAATTTTATTAAAATAGAAAAACTCATAAAATGACATGTGGACAATAAATTAATTCAAAATAACCACAAAATGACATTTGGTAAATTGAATGAGAGTACGACATGTGAAAAAAAAAATCTTCATTTATTAGAATAGATTAAAAGATAAAACAAACGGTAAATAATTTGGCAAAAAAAAGTTATATTATATGCTTATTTAGTAGAAATTTATCCTTGTCTTTGCTTAAACGAATCGATCTTTTTATATGATCACGATTTACATACAAACCAATCTAAAAAAGAGATGAAAGCCATCAAAGCTAACATTACACACATTCTGATCTTTTATTTTCGTAAACTTAACCTTACATTCTAAAATCTACCAAAATAAAAGATCAAAATCTTTTAATCGCTTGAAATATTGACATATAATATATAACGCCATGTTATCTAGGACCCGAGACTTGTTGTGAAGACATATATGAAAACGAGTTTAACGACATACTCGGACTACTACTATAATTTGTGGTCACCATAAACCCACCCCCCACTTCAACCTCCTCCCCAGTTCCAGCCATTGATGGCTCAGTGAACCGTTGTCCATAAAACCTCAAAAAGTTCAAAGAATCCAACTGCGGTTCACTCACGGGTAACACCCCTTCGAGTATCCCAACCACATTAGCCATTGTGAGCCGAACCGATGGGTCTTCATGTAAGCAACACAAAGCCACCTTCACAAGCTTCTCAACTTCATCTCTAGTCACCCGACCGGCTAACCGTGGGTCCACTAGGTCCATGTATCTTCCCTCTTCATGCATCTCCAATGCATGTAGAGGGAAATAGAACGCCCGGGCGCGTGCTCTGCCCCGGGCCTGAGAATGGTTTCGGGATCTTGATGATCTCGATGACTGACCATCAGTGCTACTAGTTGGGTTTCCCGAGCTATGACTCGGGGCCTGCACACAGTTCTTTCGACCCTGAATCAACTCCAGTAAAACCATACCGTAGCTATAAACATCGGTTTTGTCTGAAATTGCAGCGTTTGTGAGCCACTCGGGTGCTAGGTACCCGCGGGTTCCTCTCATTGTTGTAAATAAACCAGATTGTTCTGGGCTCAGCAATTTGCTGAGCCCGAAATCTGAGATTTTCACTTGCATAGTATCACTTAGAAGAATGTTTTCGGGCTTGACATCACAATGTATGATCTTGTGTTCGCACCCGTTGTGTAAATATGCAAGACCGCGAGCGGTTCCAACCGCGATCTCGAACCGTTCTTGCCATTCCAATGGCGGCCCGGTGCCGAAAATGGTTCGGTCCAATGAGCCACGGCTCATGTACTCATACACCAACAACCTCTCTCTTCCATGAGCGCAAAAGCCCTTGAGTTTGACTAGATTTACATGATGAATGTTTCCGATGATTGCAATCTCTGTACCAAATTCTTTCTTTCCCTGAGCTCCTAGGGAGGTGATCTTCTTCACTGCCACAACCGTTTTGTCACGGAGGACGCCTTTGTAAACCGTGCCAAATCCACCGGAGCCGATCTGGGTACTGAAATCTTTGGTGGCCTCGACAAGATCTTCATGATCGAACCTTATAGGTAAACCCGCAATTGAAAACAGCTCAAGATCTTCTGAACCAAAATTATCATTCAATTTCTTTGAATGAGAATTCTTGGCGTTGTTTCTTGATCTTATACGCATCCAGATGGCGAAAATAGAGATTAGCAGAACGCCGGAGCCCGGAAGTAAAATCAAAGCAACTACGGGGAAATCGGAACTGGAATTACTGTTATGATTTTGAGACAAAGATATTGCTTTGATGAACCCTAATGTATCGTCTTTTCCGTTTGTGGAGCTTGAAATGAAGGAACCCAAATGGTTTTGAAGCAAATAACATGATCCAGATGGATTTCCATGGAAGATAGCCAAACAAGAGCAGTTCGAAGAGCATAGATTTTCACATGTTGATAAATTCACACCCTTTCTAGTTGGATTTGTGAAATCAATTGGATGATACTTCATCCCATCTCCGAGCGGAATATATACATATTTCTCCGACGAATTGGATCGCAATCGGGTCCCGTTACCACCACAAGATTCCGGCAGCAACAATGAATTATCCGAGGGTGAGCAGCCGGGGTTTGCGTTCCGATCACCTCTAAATCCCGGCGGACAAGAACAACCACTAAGGGAACAGAGCCCAAGTTTGCCGCAACTGAACGGAGCACGGCAACTTTCCTCCGGCGTCGTGAAATCTGTCACCCAGTTACGGTTTGTGTATCTCATGACGTTGAGATAGCCAGCTTTTGTCAACTTTAGTATCCGGTAGTCGGAATTCACAGCCGCCGTCGTAATTAAAACTTGTACCACCACCTCCGATCCCTGGCCTCCGAACAGATAAAAACCAGACCCGTTTACCATGAGATACGAAATGGGTTGGTTTGAATTTATTACAGATTTTGAATCCATCAACAGTCTGTAATACGTCAAATTTTGCCACCGTAATAACCCGTCACCGGTGGTCACTGTAAACGTATAACCTCCCTCCGAGAAGTCAGCATCATCTTTGGAAGCGATTAACGATCCTCCAACCGGAAATCTCTGCCCAGAAACGATGGTATCCGTCGGGTAATCAAAAGATTGCCATAAAGTTTTGTTAAAACGATCAATGAGAAGTAAATTCCCGGAATCCAGTAGCTGCAGAGAAGCCACCGTGGAATTGAACGTGGGTGTTGACCAAACGGGTATGCCGGAATCATCATAGATTGTAATACCCGTGAAGGAGAGAAGGAGTTGACCAGAATTTGAGATGGGTTTATTGCGGTTGGCGACCCAGACGACGTTGCGGGAGTCAGAGTGGTAGATGAGGAGGTAGAACGACGGCGATTTAGGCTGTGAATTGAACATGGCAGCGGTGTAAGTGCGATTAACGGAGCGGAGGAAATCGCCGTTTTGGTCAACATAGTGGAAGTTGGAAGCTGTGAAATTTGAAGAAGAAGATATGGAGCCGGTGTAAGTAGTTGCCGAGTAGGAAGTAGACAAGAAGAGGAAGAGGAGGAGGAGGAGGAGGAGGAGGAAGGTGGGGGTGGTGGCAGCCATCCATGCAGAGAGAGAATTCGTCGCCGGAGAAACTTGTTTGTATTAAAAATGGCGGTGAGTTTGATTATTGGTGGTTAATTTGCGGCCGTTTTTTTGGTTTCAAAGCGTTGACCTTATTTAAAATACAAAACCACCCTTTTATTATATTTATAATTTATGTAAACAAAACTACATTTTTTTATTATTATTTAAACAAAACTACCTTTTTTTATTATATATATTTTTTTCTGTTTTATGGGCGACACTTCAAGTGCCGTGGCAGCCGTCCTAAGGTGAGCTGTAGGCGTGAACTAAACAGTATGGCGGTTGAAATTCCAATAAGGATCACATGCCCCTATTTGAAATCGCGGTGGTATAACGGTTTTTAATATTATGTATAATTTATAGTATATATCTATATAAAATCTATATATTAGATTATTAATACTATATAGAATTAATATCATAAAAAATCATATGAAAACATAACATAATCTATATATAATATTCTAATATAGTAATATGGAAACTAAAAAGTGTCAAAATGTCATTGTCGCTCAAGTCGTTCGTGGTTTCTAAAGACTGAAACAAACGAGAAAAGAAAGTTGTCGTTTGTTTCTTTGTAGTTTGTAATTAATTATATTTATTATTTAGACTTATTAAGACAAAAAGTGTAGTGGACTAGTAAAAAAAAATAAATATTTAATATTGAAATAACACACAATCGTTTTTTTCTTTGTCAAAGTAGCCTAATATGTACGAATTTGTAAAAGCGGGTGTAGCGTCGCTATACCGCTGATGAGGTTCGCGGTAAATAGCGGTCAATAGCGCCGCTAATAGCGTCACCGCTATTCGTAAACGCTATTTCAAAATAGCGGTTCAATATAACCGCAAAACGCTATAGCGCCGCTATAGCACCGCTATAGCGCGCTATTGATAGCATAGGGGCGTGAACTCTTGGCCATGTTGCTGACATCAGTTTTAATTCGGTTAACATTAAAAATTATATAAAGTTATATACCAATGTCATATTTCTTTGATCACATTAAAAATATATAAAAAATATATAGTAATTATTTAAAACCAAAAAAGACAAACAAGGAACAAATGGAAGAATAAATATGAAAATAGGTGGCATATTGTAGAGTTTTTAAATGTCTTGTTGGTGAAAATATATTTTTTTATTAGAAAAGGTAGCCATTATTAAGTAGACAATTAGACAGAATCTTAGTTGTAGTTAGATTAGACACCACTCTTGTTTTGGTTTTATTGTTGAGGACGAATGTAAACTTGACACTACTAGTTTGATGAGTCATCTTGAGAAAGGCTTAAACTTGAATCTAGAAAAATTCAAGCTCAATTAGAAAGCTCAAGATAAAAATACAATATTAAACAAAGTTTGATGTGAATTTGACCCGAAAACATTAACCACTGTATACCTTTTATTTTATTTATTTATTTATTTATTTTTGGGGAGAAGATGAAGATGAAGATGGGTTTCTCTAACAAAGCAACCCCCACATGCAAAGGCCCCCATTTTGGTAAAGATGGTTAGATGGGTTTATAAAGAAGATGAAGATGTATTTCATGGGTCTTCGGTAAAGAAGAGGCCTAGGAATTGGGTATTTTAGGCCTTGTTTCGAGCTTAGGCTTTTTCGCACGTCTATGATCAAGTATGTTAGTGCAAAATGCAAATGTTTGATATATGTATTTTTCATAACGCTCTATTTTTGAGTTTTGATGATTACAAACATAAAACTCAACTTATATTATTATCTAGACAAAATTGCAAAAAAGTCCCTGTGGTATGTATTTTTTTGAGGTTTTCATCCAAACTTCAATGTTTTTGGCTTCGTGGTCCTTTTTGGCTATGTAGAAATGATCTCCGGTAAACTTAAAATTACAAATATTCCCTTTTAATTTGTTTTTCTCATTTTCTTAAACATTTTATCCTTTTTTTTAATATTAATATCCTTTATTTTAATATTAATGTAATAAAAAATAAAGTGGGGGCCCACCCTTTCTCTCTCTCTTACGGGACAAGTGAGAAGAAAATCACCCCAAAACACCCCCATTCTCTTCTTCCTTGTCTCTTTTCATTTCATCTGCAACTTAAACAATACACACAATTCACCCAATACACACATCAATTTGATCTCCCTTCTTCCTTCGTCATTTTCTCTGTTTTGTGTTAGGTTAAAAAGCTTAAATCAGCTTCAATTAGAAAAGCATAGAGTGATCTAGATCAAGACCTAGAACGATCCCCAAATTAGGAATGATGAAACACAACAACGAACCTTGAATTGGGGACTCTCACTTTGATTTGAAGACGTTGGAGCTGGTATGGTAGGTTTTTCGAACAGTTGAAATGGTATCAGATAATGTCTGACGAAGTGGGTATCTTAGCGGCGGCAAGGTACTAGATCGACTCTGCCCTCCTTCCTTTCACCTGCAGATCGACTTTGAACAACAGGTATGTATGTGGTTTTGTTCGACCTAGAAGCAGCGACACACACACATATATTCAATGTGTGTTGATCACAAACAAAGGGGACGAGCACGATTTGGTGACGATGATATGAATATGTCTATGGCTTTTTCATTTCCTGGTTATTACTCATGGATAAATTGAAACCACTAAGGGAGAACGGAGAAAAGATGGGGATTTTTCATTTTTTGGTTGTCTTTGTATCTACAAGAAACATGTAATCAGGTTTCACCATCCATGTTGTTTATGTTTTATATTGAAACAATAATGAATGATAGATTTGGATTTGTGTTTGAATTAACAAAGTGAGCCATTGGAGGAATTACAAACTGATGAATACGTTCGAGATCAAGTGGCAGAGGAGAAAGGAGCTCAAGGTCATGAAATCGATTTTTCTGGTTACCTCCCTCACCTCATTCTTCTCTAGATCTCCAAATTGATTTTTCCAGTGGGGTATGTGGAGAGAGAGAGAGAGATAGAGGGAGAGAGGGAGGTGAGGTGGGCCCCACTTTATTTTTTATTACATTAATATTAAAATAAAAGGTAAAATGTTTAAGAAAATAAGAAAAACAAATTAAAAGGGCATATTAGTCCTTTTAAGTTTAACGGGGACCATTTCCACATAAAAACATGGCCAAAAGGACCACGAAGCCAAAAACATCGAGGTTTGGATGAAAATCCCCAAAAGATGTAGACCACAGGGACCTTTTTTGCAATTTTGTCTATTATCTAATATTGTATGTTGTAACTTGTAAGCTAAAGTGATCATCACCATCAATCTCTATTGGACCTTCTTAGAGGCCAGGGGGTCATGTTCTCCCCGCTTTTTGCTCTCCTAATTAGTGTATATATAATCAAGTTACAAAAAGAAATGCCAGAATGACAAGCTTCCCACCCCTGGTTCAAATCTCAGTATATTTATATACATAATATATTAATTGATATAACTGCAAAATGGTCCATGTCGTATGTATTTTTTCTGAAGTTTAGTTCAAACCTCGACCTTTTTGGTTTCATGGTCCTTTTGAAATAGTTTGTTTGTGGAATTAGTCCCTATTAAACTTGAAAAGACTAATCTAACCGTTTAATTTGTTTTTCTATTTTCTTAAATATTTTCCCTTTTATTTAAAATTTTAAAAGTAAAAAACAAATAAAGAGGGGCCTCACCTCACCTCTCTCTCTCTCTCTCTCTCTCTCTCTCTCTCTCTCCAATAGTCTGAAACATCCCAAAAATCAAGGACAAAAATTTCATTTTTATTATAATCAAAACATGGATGTAACTTGATTCAAACATTTAAAAACATTTCTAAGTAACACAATTATCAGAGTTGAATCCCAAAATCACGTATTGCGGAAAACACGGGTGTATGCGCTGCGATCAAGCCGGGCCCTTCGATTCCGAACTGAAAGTACCTGAAACCAAACCACAAACTGTAAGCACGAAGCTTAGTGAGTTCCTCAAATACCACATATAACGCAAACATACTGTCAGGCATATCTGGGTGCCCGACCTACTCCTTCGGTCTATTTCAACCAGATAATGTCGAGCATATCTGGGTGCTCGACCTACCCTTGCCAGACATATCTGGGTACCCGACCTACCCTTGTCAGGCATATCTGGGTGCCCGACCTACCCTCCGGTTTATTCCAACTGATTACGGGGTCTATCTCACCCCCTACCACTACCATATAAAATCATGCATATCTCACATAAACATCAAACAATACATACCACCTTAATAATTATCACAAAGACAATCATTAAGCTATATCAATACTAGTGGGCCGGCCTAGGTGCCTTCGACCCACATATTCTATGAAGGGAGACTCACCTCGAATGCAGAAGCTCACAGATATAGATCCTTAGTTGCTGCCCTGACGACTTCCCGAGCTATCAATACGAAAATATCACCCAATTAGCAATTGGGTTCCAAATCATGATCCATAATCCATGCTTGGGGGTAAAATGACCATTTTACCCCTGACCCAACATGAACCAAAACTGAGGCCCAAGCCCGAAACCAAAAAGGCCCAAAACTATAAGATCCATAAAGGTCCACTAATGGAAAATTGGGCCCAACCCTTACATGGGCCTTACCCTAAAGCCCAATAATTTGATCCAAATCCAAACACATATCCACAGTTGGTCCAACAAAACCCCAAGCAACACAAGCCCAAGTGATAGCCCAAACCCGAAATGACACCGCAAAGCCCAAATCCATCATGGACCTATCCCGAGAAGGCCCAATATCTAAAAAGGTCTGTAGTACTGAATGGTCAACCCTAGTCAACTCCTGTGCAAGGTCCAAAGCCCAAAAAGTCAACAATCCAAGAAAGTCCAATCTGGTCGAGTACGCCATGCATACTCTGCTGGTACGCCCAACGTACACCCCTTGGGGCCAGTACGTGCATCGTACCGGATGGGTACGCCCAATGTACTCCTCTGGATCCCGACCATCTCCAAAAAGCACTTAATCACTTAAGTCATTGCTCTAAACTCTCAGATCTGATTCTCATATATGACTTAATACGT